TCTCTCTCTCTCAAATAAATAAAATCTTTCAAAAAAAAAAAAAAAGACTTTAAAAAAAATGTAAAATTTGTTTGAAGGTAATGATCAAAATTCAAAAACAAACAAGAAACTTATTTTTGACAAATACAATGAGGAGCGAAGAAGCAGAAGTAATGTAAGTGGGGGCGCCTGGCTGGCTCAGTCAGTGGAGTGTGAAATTCTTGATCTCAGGGTTGCAAGTTCAAGCCAACACTGGGTGCAGAGATTACTTAAAAATTAAAAAAAAGAAGGAAGGTAAGTAGAGATATACCTGCATGGTTCCAAGGGCAGAGGTGTGACAGGTAAAGGACTCTGAAGCATTGTAACAGACCTCAGCCACACTCAAACCCCAAAGTTAAGTCCACACAGACTAGAAAGGAAACGGAGACAGCAGCAGGAGCCTTGCAGGGCATAGGCCTGGAGCTGTCCCACCTGCAAAGGAGGCTGAAGACACGTGGCCAAGGGCAGAAGACCCGATGTCCCCAGGACTGGGCATCCACCGTAAGCCAGCATGACCGTCTCCTGAGGCAGGGGCCTCTGCTGTGACACCCGTACCCAGCCGAGGGCCCCACACTGGGCAAGGGCAACTTAGAACCGCCAGCCAAGGGGCACTCAGCTGGCTCAGTCTGTGGAGCATGTGACTGTCGATGTAAGAGTTATAAGTTCAAGCCCCACCTTGGGTGTAGACATTAGTTAAAAATAAGATCTTTAAAAAGCAACAACAACAAAAAACCCCACCAAACAAGAGAGAAGTCCGCAAGCAAAATTAACAAAGAGGAAAAAGGATCTAAAATGATGCAGATTTCCCAGGGAACAATTTGGGAATATGCATTAGCACACACATGGTTCAGGAACCTGAAGAAAGGTCACACCCTTAGGATCTATCAAAAGGAAATAATCTACGTACCTTAGACTTGTTACACACAATATGCCCAATAGACTTATTAATGAAATTTAAATATCTAGTGATTGCAAAATGGGAAGTTTTGACAGAGCTACCTAATCAAATAATAGGCTGTTGTTTAAAAAATGCTGATAGAGTTTATCAGAAAAGAAAACGTGATACTATTTTAAGTGAAAAGGATTCATTCAGAATTGCACCTAGAGCATAATCTCACTGTGCAAAACACAAACACAGAAAAGGATAGGAAGAAAATTGTGAAAAGAAAACAGAAATGAAAAGAAACTTTTAATCTATGAAACAAATCTGTATCTACAGCTATACCTTAGAGTACCTTGGGGTCCAATTATCCTATATAAGATTATTTAGTACACACCTCACAGTACAATTTAATATGAATGTTAATAGTAGCCACCCCCTAAATCCCTGCCACCCTCTAAAAAGGTAAACGCCCAAATCAAGTATCAATATGTACCGAAATTATAAAAGAATAATTTCTTTTTATAGAAAAGAAACCACCTCCTATATAGCCCACCTCCACCCTGAAGATTAATTACGGACAGCGGCCTAGAGAGGAACACCACGAGGACACGGGGCTCCACCTGGTCAGTCCCTGGGACCACTTCAAACACGCTCAGCTGGCTCCGGGTCTCCCGCATGTACCGCTCCTTTTCAGGACACATATCTGGGCATGTCCCAACAAAAGTCCTCGCTTTGTCCAGGTCGGTTCTTTTCACCCGAGCTAAATGACAAGTAAAAAGTAACGTATCACACAGTTACTAGGATAATAAAAGGAAAAATAAAACTAAAGGCAAATGCCACACACAAATGACAAAGTAAAGCGCTGAAAGGGAAGCATGGCCTATCACATCAGGTACCAGGGCACCCAGAGGCCTCGTCACCCCGCAAAAGCCACAGGTCTGCACTGCATGATGCAGGTGGGGGGCACGCTGATCACTGTCCGTGGCTCCACAGCAGTCTGAACGATAAACAGTCATGCTGCAGTATGTTTGTTAAAAAGATCAATTTGCTAATTGTAAATAGCAAACTCAGTACTTCATCGCTTCTATCTCATTCTGTTTCTGATAGAACAAGAATCACCTAAGAGAACACCTAAGAGAACCTGGGTCCTGAATAAACTACTCTTACTTCCCACAAAATTAAAGTTACAAAAATATCTTTTAAATGAGATGGATTACAACAACTTCAAGCTCAAAATACACACACCTTATTTTTATCTTGAAAAATTTCAACACCTACTAATTTTATTTGGAATATAAAAATCACCATGTCAATGACATAATGTATGACAGCAGCTTTTATTACCATGTTAAGGAAGCACTGTAATTATTCCACTTATTCACAGCTTCTAAAAAGAGTAAAATCCCACAGCTAAATTTAATTTAAAAAAAACTTTGCAGGGGCGACTGGATGGCTCAGTCAGTTAAGTGTCTGCCTTCAGCTCAGGTCATGATCCCAGAGTCCCGGGATCAAGCCCCATGTCAGGATCCCTGCTCAGTGGGGTGTCTGCTTCTCCCTCTCCCTCTGCTGTTCCCCCTTCTCCATTTCTCTCTCTCACTCTCTCTCTCTCTCTCAAATAAATAAATAAATAAAACATTTAAAAAAAAAAAAACTTTGCAAAAAAAGCACAAATACTTTCTCCTTTTATGTGTGGTCATTGCACATATTTTTTTAAAGTTAACAGAATACTTATTTTTTGAATAGGTAATATATTCACATGGGTTATATTCCAAAGGTATAAAAATGTCAAAATAGACCCCCCCACCTTGCTCCCCTCTCTGAGACAACGTGAACAGATCTTTTCATACCTCCAGGACTACTTTATGTACCCACAGGCAGGTACACTTACCCCCTTATTTATACACAACGGGTAGCATACTACATACTTCCACACTATGATTTCCTACTTCACAATAAATCTTCATTTTTTTTCCATAAAGAAACCCCAGTCTTCTTTCAGACTGTTTAGAATCTTGCTATGTGGACAATCAATTCCCAATCTTTGTCATCAAAAACAACCTTGTATGTGGAACACACACACGTGTGCGCACACACACACACACTTCTGGGTGTGGGATGCTGGGTCAAAGGCACGGCTTTCCTAAGGCTGGAAGATACTGCCAACCTGCCCTCTACCGGAGCGGTGCAGCCGTCCACAGCCGGCTCAAGGAGACAGCATCATGGTGTAACAGGGGAGAGGCCACCTCTGCGGGTGTTAACTGGACTGCTGTGTGTGATGGGGTGAGCACCTTTCCATATGTTTAAAAACCAATTCATGACACAGTTGACTCTGGAACAACACAGGTTTGAAATGTGCAGGTCCACTCATACACAGATTTTTTACAGTACTGTAAATGTATTTTCTCTTCCTTATCATTTTAATAACATTTTTTTCCTCTAGCTTAATTTATTGTAGGAATGCAGTATATGATACACATAACACAAAATATGCGTTAACTGACTGTTATGAGTAAGTCACCAGTAGGCTATCAGCAGTTAAGTTTTTGAGGAGTCAAAAGTTATATGTGGATTTTCGACTGTAAGGGGGCCAGCACCCCTAGCCTTGTGTTGGTCAAGGTCAGGTATACTTCCTTTTCTGTAACTCCTCTGACCCCCTACTCATTTCTCTACTGGGCTGGCCTTTGTCACAATGACTTCCACAGTACTTTCTATATCAGGAAAATCAGGCCTTTGTGATGAGTTACAGATTTTTCTCCTGGGTTGACATTTCTTAAGTTTTATTTGTGGGGATTTCTGTCAAACCAAACATTTGGATTTTTGTTTAATATATGCTTTCTGAATGTCTAAAAATGGCCCTTTAAAATGTTTCATTTAGCATGGGTCAATAGTTTATGGATTTTCTTCCAAAAATAAAATTAAAGACATATCTACATTATAATCCATGTCTTCCATCCCCTTGGGAAACCAGCTCACAGGAAAGATTATATGCAGGGCATTGGAGGACCCAGAGACTCGATGACAGTGGAGCCCCATGGGCAGGGGTTGCTCCTTCCTCCCAGCTCCCACAGTGACCTTACCATGACCTTAGCCAGGTCTCTGGACCGCTGCTGAGGTGCGCCCACCATACCTTGCCGCATGATCCTATCCCTCTGGTCAAGCAGGCGGTACTTCTCCTCAGAAGTCTCAGCCACGGTGCCTATCAGGCTGCTGAGTGATGACACACATGGCCCGAGACCCTCAGAGCCCTCGGAGCCCGAGTCAAAAGGGTCTCCCTCAAACTGATGGGTCTTTAGAAGACTTGGCTTCTTCACTGGAGAGCTACAAAGAAAGTAACACATCAAGGGCCTTGTATCCATCAGGTGCTTCTATCACTTCTACTTCTGAATGCTTCCACCATTCAAGACTTTCTGCTCCTCCAAAACTGACAAAGTACAATACTGACGTGAGACAAGCCCTGACAATGCTAGTGATGAGCACGAAGGTGTTACTCTTGTCATTCTCTGTGATTTTAAAATATTCCATACTTTTTGGGCGCCTGGGTGGCTCAGTCATTAAGCGTCTGCCTTCGGCTCAGGTCATGATCCCGGGGTCCTGGGATCGAGCCCCACATCGGGCTCCCTGCTCAGCGGGGAGTCTGCTTCTCCTTCTGCCCCTCCCCACCACTCGTGCACGCTTACGCTCTCTCTCAAAAATAAAATAAAATCTTAAAAAAAAAAAAAAACAGAATAAAATAAAATATTCCATACTTTTTAAGAATGAGATGAGCCCATTTAAACAGCTAAATGAATATCCAAAGATCTGTATCTCAAAAAAATGAAATTCAGCTTGGGATTTGGGAAAAAAAAACAAAAAAACACACTTTAACACCATGAGGAAATCACACGCCTACATGTTTTCATACATCACTTCACTCTGGTAGAAGGATGTACTAAACAGAAATGAGCAATGTCTCTGAGCTTCCCCATTTTCCAGTTGGCTTTCGATATTCAGTGAACTCTAATGTTGAAGATATGACTGAGTGGGAAAGTAAAAAGCAAAACAAATCAGCAACTAAAGTGCTAACTGTGAAATGAAAAGTGAGGAAACAATATACTAACCAAAATACATGAAGGATCAAACAGAAGCAGGCTGTGGGGGGGGGGGGTCATGTGGGAAGCTGGGGGCTCTGGGAACAGATTTCCATTCAGACGGGGAGGCCATGTGAGGCACACACCATGTGCCCACCCCCACCTGAGAGCTAGACCCCTGGCTCCCCAGCTATCGTGCGGCCGAGGGGGACTGCCTCACCGTAATAAGCTGGACCTACAGAAAGTCATACTGGAAACTGCCACAAGGAGCTTTGAGGAACACTTGATCATAGCCAGGTAGACCTCTTAAGGGAAAAAGTCCTCCTTACACACTGATACACATCAGGTGCCAGAACAAGCGCATGGGACACGGGACTGAGCGAGACAAGCGAGCAGCCCGGGGGCTCTGCCCAGCCGTCTCCCCCTGCCCTCCCACCACGCCCTCCTCTCCCTCTCCCAGGCCCCATTCCCCCTGCTCAAGTGTCAGCGTATCACCCACTTCCCTGCCATGCTCTGGCACGACTGCTGCCGAGGGCACAGAAGTCGGAGCACCCACAGGAAGGATCGGCCGCACCTTTTACTCAGGAGGGTGCCAGCTGCGGCCCTCACCACAGGCTTGCCAAGAGGAGAGTGCTGAAAGGGTGTGTCCTCGGGGCTCTGGCCGGCTTCGCCGTCACCCGGCTTCTTCTCCTTCACGGAAAAGGGCTTCTTGTTGGGACCTGAGGACACAAGAGCAGAGTTCACGAGTCACAAATCACTTCGCAGTGGACTTTTTTACTGTGTTTGAAAAAGTAATACTCTCGGGGCGCCTGGGTGGCTCAGTCATTAAGCGTCTGCCTTCGGCTTGGGTCATGGTCCCAGGGTCCTGAGATCGCGTCCCCGCATCGGGCTCCCTGCTC